AGATTGTAAAAGAGTTGGACTCGGTGCAATCAGGATGCCCTAAAATACATACAATTTCACACTCAAGTAGTCAAAATGTATATCATTCGATTGAATGTTTTCACAAGTTGTCTAATGATGAATTTCAACAAGATACATATGATATTTCCAATCGTAAATGAGATGTATACACTATAATGAACGGTGCTCTTATTTTTTGAAATGTTATTCAAGGATAAAAAAATAAAAAAATAAAAAAATATATATAAATGGCTATTAAGATTACTCAATTTGTGTGGTTGTGTGAGAATATATTGTACAAAAAACAATTGTACAATTTTTAGAGTAAAGCTAAGCATTGTGGAAGAAAATAATTATGGTGAAGTGCCTAATTGCATAGTAGAAACCATACGTAGAATGTTGATAACTTACTACTACATACTGTATGATCAAATATATATCTCAAATAAAAATATATATATATATCTCAAATAGGGCCGTCCCTGAGGCTGGGCCATGAGGGCGATCGCCCAGGGCCCAGCCCAGGAGGAGGCCCAAAATTTTAGGGCTTTCGCATGTATATATATATTATGTACTATATTAAAGGAAATGTATATATAAAAATAAAAATAAAATTATGAGAGATAGGTATGAAAATAAAAATGAAAGTATAATACAATCTGACGAAAAATAATTTAAAATTAATTATTTTCTAGTTAGTTCATAGATATGTCTATTGCATTCTTAAACGAGATATTCAAATAATTATATAAATTGAATACTATTTTTGGATTTTTATTTAATTTTAAATAACTTAAATCTTTAAATTATAATGAGCTTAGAAACTATTGTATTGTTTTTCAAATACTTTCGTCTCAATAATGATTTATGTGATGTTGATTTAAAATATTTTTTATTAATTAAAAATTTTACAAGTTATTTTACCGGATAACTTAAATTAACCCATTGAAATTTTTGAATATGATTGTTCCAAAATTTGTAGAGAACTTTTAAATAAATAAATATTTGTTAGAGCCCTTATTTTAGATTTTGCCCCGGCCCCCGACATATCAGGAACGGGCCTGATCTCAAATAATGTATTGTTATGAAACAATAACTTAGGGCCTATTTGGTTGACACCTCAAGAAATTTGTACATTATTAACTGTAGTGTTATAAAAAATTCTCATCAAAATCGGTTGAGTTTTATTTTCCACATAAATCCCAATGTCTGCACACATACTTCAGTATTTCCTAAGTCTTTCTTTTATATATATATATATATATATATATACTTATGGATAATATTGTTATATTACATATATATTTAAATTTTGTCATATATATGTATTTTATACACAATCTATACACACCTATATATATATATATATTATAGGAGTATATATACTCAAATGTTTAAGCATAAATTTTAATAAAAAATAAAGAATAATTTTTAGTTTTTCATTTTTAACTTTTATAGTAAAAAAATACAAAAAGTTCATATATTTCTTACTAAATATGAAATAATTTTTTTATAACATAAAATAAAGTATAAATTTAGATGACGAAAAAAGTATTATATAAAAAGTATTATTATATTATATTAAAAAATAATAACTAATATTTAAAAAATATATTATATTTTATTATATCTTTATATTTAAAATTTTCTAATATTTTAAATTCTTCAAACATCTCAATTCAAAAAATTTAAAGTTAATCAAAAAAAATTCAACCCAATTCAAATTTCAACTTACAATCAGATGCACCCTTAGATATTAACACAATAACAAATTTATTGCAAAAGTTTGTAAGAATTTATCCGGCACATATGGATTATATAATATGGAGAAAGCAGTGAAGATAAACAAATTCATTGATGTCATTTGTGACCTCCAGTGTAACAATTTGGCAGATGACTTTGGTGAGTACTTTTACGAAACATTTGCCGAGTATATATATGAAATTAATTTCGTCCCACTCATATATCCAATTAGATTGATCGTCTGTAATATCAATAATATTTTGGACAAGATTGAAGTTTCCTATCTATATTATCATATACAATGTCTTAATTGATTTGTTTACAATAAAATAACACGTACGCAATGAATCGATAGTGAGGATGAATTAAAACAAAGAATGAATTAAACAACTCCAAAAAGGAGTTTTTCGACTAACTTATCGCTCTTCGGAAACTAATTAATCAAGAATTTAACACTATATAACATCAATCTTGATAGCTTTAATTCACGTATCATATATAATTCATTCTCAACTTCATACGAATACTATAACTATTTGCTAAGACTTTGTAGATCTAGTGGTTGACATTTTTAGCATGAGTGCAAAAATTCCATGTTTGATATCGAAAATGGGTATGATTGTAGATTAAAAAAAAAAAAAAAAGCCATTTTTTTCATAAAAATTATATTGTAATACAAAAGTAAAATTAAATTACAAAAGAATATAGTCAAATGTTGTGAAACAGTGAAAATCAAGATAAAAATATATATACAAAAAAAAAATGATATTATTATTATTATTATTTTGCAATTATAATTGCATGTGAGACGTCTAAACTTTGGGTAAATAAATAAATATATATATATATATTATATTTGATAAAACTCGTGACACAATAATGATATATGATGAAGCTTTATAGCCTGAGGCAGTCATTTGTTTCATGTCATGCCTTGCTCCTTAATAATACTCCCTCCGTTCCACGTTGGATGTTTTGGTCACTGTATATACGGGAATTTAGGATAAGTATAATTATTATGATAATTAAAAATGTATTAGTAAAAATAACTATTTTATAATATAAATAATTATAAATTAAGGTTAAGATAACTAATTAGTTTAATTAAAACTAAAAAAAATTAAATTAAAAATTTTAAAATGATATTAAAGTGTATAATCATTTTCTAAAAAATGAAAGTGACATAGGATGTGAGATGGATAGAAACCGCAATGTGAATATGGTAGGTGAGAGGGATGGAGTAATAATAATAATAATAGGCACCACTATAGTAATAATGTGGGAGAAGTGTCACACACAAGGCTTCTATATATGCACTTTGCTTTCAAAATGGTTAATTTGTATTCATTACAATACATACATATATATATATATATATATATTTAAATTGCTGATGCTTTAAGGGTGGGAAAGAAATAAAAAGAATAATTAATTATATATTGTGTGATAATGAAATTTGATGATCCTTTTCAGCAAAGACATGTATTTGTCTGTTCTCGTGCATATATATATATATATATATATACATAAATCAATGTTTAATTATTTAATTAATTTGGTGTGTAACAGGGATTTGCTATTTTTGGGTCTTTCTTATGATAGATAATTTTATTTTAGGAATTCTTGCAGCAGAAATTAATGACATGTAATGTACTGTAGGAATTATTACAAAGTGTGCATAAATGTAGAGAGTCACATGATATTTTGTGGACACAATTATTTCATCATTTTCACTTCCAACCATTTCATCATACTCTTAAATATTTTAAAACTTAGTTGGCCCAAAAAGTGTGACAACATTGAATATATATATATATATATATATATTTATAATAGTAAAATGCACACATACATTTATATTTAAATTAATTGTGTTGCAGATGCAATCACTACACTTCATTACACCAAACCATTTATAGTCCAAAAATATTACTCCTCTAGGGATTGGTTATGGTGCTCATTAAAAAAAAAAAAAAAAAAGAGTCATACAAGACATATTTTCATTTAATCCATTACATATTGTATTATTAAAAAAAAATATATATATATATATATGTCCGATAAAAAATGGCACGGTGGTGTGGAAATAGATTCGTAATTTGTCTTATTGGACCTAATTTACAGGTTATTAAGTCCTATTGTTGATTCTCACGCTATCAATATATATATATATGTTATCGGTAGATGTAGGGTGTGTTTGTTTGAGGAATTGGATTTTAAATACACTATTCATCCCATTTTTTTTCCTCCAAAAACATCAAATCAAACACCTATTTTTTATTTTTTATATTATACTAAAAATCAATTTTATATTCAAAACATCACATCAACACCTATTTATATCACATCATACAACTATTCAAATTCAAAATTTTTACTATTCAAATCCCAACTTAAAATCCAAACCCTCAAACAAACACACCCTATATAAATATATTGTGTTAAAATAATAACATATATTGTAGTTCATATATTATATTTGTATTATGTTAACATAAATTTTGGTCGGTACATATAATAAAAACATATCCGACACATGCTATAATTTTACTTAGCACATATCTGAATAGCATATGATATAATTTCATAAAGTACAAACATATTTATACATCACAATACAAATATACTACCCTATATTATGCAACATATTTTTTTTATATGACAAATATATTATGCTATATAAAACGATGTATTGTCTATTTTAATTATATTTGTTGATCGAATCAAAGTAGGATCATAATGATTTAACTAAATCTGCATCATAACCACTATCATCTATTATAACCACTATTATCTACTATCTTCGTCTGGCTCAAAGGTCTCATTTACTTTTTGTGTGTTGATCTTTAAATATTAATTATTATATGAAAATGTAGTACAAATTAAAGAAAAATGACAAAAATACTTCTATTAGTATCTTATAATAGTATTATAATGACATTTGTGGAAAAAAAATATACAAATATAAAAATATTTTTAATATTATAAACAAAATCGCAAGAATTAAATGAGACTCTTAAAACGGAGAGTATTATATTCAGCACCATAATAACTCCGTACTCTTCTATAATAAATTTATGTTTTTTAGCCATTTTTTTTAAGTAAAATGTCATATCTATTTTTTAATCTTTTTTATATTTTTTTATAATAATAAAAAATATATATCAATTATTATTCATTCACATTAAAATATTCAAATACTTAGACCATAACATTTCATGGGAATAATAATAATAATAATATATATAAGACCCCAACCATTCATTCACTCCCCACAACATCACTAACTACACTCAATAAATCCCATGGCTCTCCACCCCGCCATAATCGCCGCCGCACTTTACCTCCTCGCCGCCACTTCCGCCGCCGCTGCCGCCGACCGAGCCCACGGCATCGCCAACGAGAGCCCGATGGCCATCTCGCCGGCGGCGTACGCCTTCTTCCACCCCAACGGCGCCATGCAGCCAACCGCCTCCGTGATGCCGATGGCGGCCGCTTCCACCGTCAAGTCCACTCCGGCCCATGAGAGCACTTCCGAAAATGGCGCCGGCGGCGGCGGCCGGGGAATCGGCGCCGGCGGCATTGCCGGAATATGCTTCAGTATGGTTCTGGTCTGTGCTGTCGGAGTCGGAGCATTCTATGTCATTGTAAGGAAGCGTCGAGACAACTCAAGAAGTGCTGAAACGCAACAGTCACCGCCACCGGAAACGGATATTCCGGCGAAGCGGCCGGAAAATTCCCGGAAAGCCGAACCGATGCCGTTGCCGGCGCCGGCGGAAATGAATGTCTGAGTCACGGAGATGTAATCACGATATTGGATTATATATTTTATTTAAAAATTTTTTAAATATATATAATATACTATAGATAGTTATACACTGTGTACGTATTATTGCAGTATTATGTTATTATTCAGAAAATTATTTTGTATAGAAGTCCACTTAAGATTTTCGTGCCTTTTATTTGCTTGCGCTTCTTCATTTATACAATTTTTGCTATTTGTCTAACAAGCAGTAAGAAATTCTATATTTATTTTTCTTTGAAATATATTCATGTCCCGTCCAAAACGTCAAAGTATAACCAGAAAACACATACTATAATAATAGAAAAATAAAATAAAATAAAATAAATTTCTAGAACTCAATTTGCTTTGATTTTGTTTAATTCCCTATAAAAAAATAAAAATAAAATAAAATAATATTATTTTCTGTTATAAAATATAATGGGTTGGTTTAGTTGGTATTTGAAATCCATTGTGGTTAACATTTTGATGTGATGTTTTGAAATTTGTAGTATTGATACTTTGATTTAATGTTTTAAAAAGAAAATATATATTTTTATTAAAAATTGTGCCGAATAAATAATGCTACTTTCTATTTGAAATCATAAAAGAATATTTTCAATATTTAATTACTTTTAAAAAAAAAATTAAACTTAATTGATCATTTAAATTTACTTTGATGAACTCTACCTTGTTTTTTTTAAGCCACACCAGACCACCTAGCACTGGATAAACTCTCAAACCGAATCAGAAATATCAAACCATATATCCCCAAAACCCAATCTAAGATAGTTCCGGTGACAAAACTATACCATTTGGTGTGGACAATTTTTCAAAAATAAACCCTAGGATAATGTGTAGACCTAATAATGAGTAGGATTGAATATTTTAAATATACGAAATCACGCAATTCATTTATTATGGAGATTAAAATCCTTAATTCAAATTCAGTTATTTCGCATCAGATTGTCATGTTATTTTTTGTTTGATGTAATGTGAATAGTGAAATAGGACATCAACCATTTTATTACCGTATCAAATTCATGCTGATTCATATACATAATTAAATCATAATTCTTAACTCAAACTCAATTACCTTGTATAAAATTATCAAAATTGTTTAGTCAAGTTAGTTGTTATTAACAAATGACCTTTCAGTAGCCAGCCAATACAACACGAGGTAGAAAAGAGTATGTGTATGTGTAAATAGTGTGTATGATTCCCTCCGATCAAACCCTACAACCCAACAAGTATTGTATTGTTATCCTTAATTGTATATACATTGGGATAATTACAAAAAATATCTCACATTTATACAAAATATATCTCCAATATTTGTAAAAATTGCTATTTTTATCATTTAGCCGCGCGTAAGAGCGCGTGGTGTGAATATCACGGGCGGACAAAGTACATAAATAGCGACTTTTATAAACATGTAGAATATATTTTGTCATCAAGATAAATACAGAATTAAAGAGATAATAGCGTATAAATGTATATTTTTTACAATTATCTATATATATATATATATATATATATGGACAAAAGAAAAGTGGGGATGGACACATATCGTGGGTCCATTCATAACTTGTAACCAGTCCAACAACACCACCATTCAACTTTCCCCACTTCATTATACATTAATATATATATATATATACATATATGTACATGTATAGATATCTCAATCTCAACTGTTCTTTTTATTGTAACAATCAAATTTCAGCTCTTCAGTAAATCAAATTCAAAACAATGTAAAGATAGGATAGGATAGGATGCAAGACGATACGTAGCAATTACATCCCTACTTGGGAATTAACTCGAAAAGGGGAGTAGTTAGCAGCTAGATAGATGTCACGGCAAATATTTAAAAAAAAAAAATGGATAAACACGCGCATACGTGCAACAAGATAACAATTCATACAGTGGTTGGTGCAGTGCTCGATCCTACCATCCGCGGGAGCTCAAGGACTCGATTAGAGGCCCTAATGTCTTGTCCACAGCTTTATTCCATGTGTGCGCAAACTTCAACCGATATTTCCTTCCAAAAATAGGCTCGGTTTGCTGAAAGGTACACGAAACATTGCCCCATAAATTCTCACCACAAAGAAACAAAATCATTTGTCTTACAGTCATGACACCTAGTTACTTATTCTAACATGCGATGTAGTTATTCAGGGGGAGATTTCATCAAATCATTTTACTATATCACTTGGAGCTAAAAGAAAAAATTACTGAACAATGAAGACAAACATGTCTCCCATATCATATTTTGATTAACTCACTGTTAATTGTTTCCACATTAGAAATCGGGTTTCAGCATGGTCAATTATGAGCCCCGCAGAGCATAGTGCATTATACAGCAAGCTGACCGTGTTAAAACAAAGTGTCAAAATATATTAAAGAACTAAGAATTTAGTATGCTTCACTTATATTTTTAGTTATTCTTAAAATTAAAACTTATTCCTGCTTAAACGAAATTTAAATCTTCATAACATAATAGTAATGTTTAACTAAATGATGACAGCAAGTGTTCTTTGTTATTGAAATACTTTACGTACGTTTTTACACTAGGGAGAGTACCAAATTGATAACAGTTCAAGCATTACAAGCAAGGATGCAAAAAGCTAACAAACTTACACACAATCTACACACAAAACTGCAAGGAAAGCAGAAAGACACCAGGGGAGAAAAAGCTCGACCATGTGAAATCAAATGCTAGACAAAGAAGCATGCATAGAAATAACACAAACTTAATAAAAACCAACCCAATAGATGACTCCAAAAGTTCACGCAAAACAAACAGCACTAGAAGAACCACAAAGCCAATGAAAAAAAAATAACGATAAAAGACACCAGAGAAAGCACCTTTTACAACTATATAGAATGGAAAAAACATAGAATCTAAGGGATGGAATCAATACAAAGCTCAACTTCCAGAAGAAAAATTGTTTTCAAAGCTAATTTACTGGAAACTTCGGCTGTCAACACGCGATAAACAGAAGATTTAATTCCATGTGACACTTTCTCAGAGAGAATGCAGTTTTCTCGCTTCAAGTACAAGAAAATACAACCCTTAATAATACAAAATTCACATTTTGATAAGTTTTCTTGATCACGTCTAGGATACTTCAGTTGGTCAAGCGGTCAAGCCAGGTTCTGGTTTCCCAAACTTAACTTACGTTTATCTCGAACGAAACTAAAACTCACTCAATTGAGTATATGTATCGAAATTGTTTCAATTCAATTAAATAAGTAATTTATTTGGTCTAAACGAGTCAGCCCCAAAGTATTGAATCAAAGCTGTATGGAAATGGAGTATTTCCTAATTGGAGGTCAACTTATTCAAAGATTTGTGACTTAAGCCTTCATCTCCATTAACAACTCCATTTTGGGATAACACCATAATCTTCAAACCATCATATCAGGCAATCATTGTATCATTTATCAAATTAATTTCTTCATATATCAATCGGTAAAATTTCAAGTTTCTCACTCAACTTCAACCCTAAATAATTTCCCAATTTCTTTCAAAATCCGTGTGTATATGCACATATCTGAATACCCAAAAAGTAAAAGTAAATCTTCTCCAGAGAACCCCAAATGTACAGCCACACATAACAGATAATATCTTCCCACAACCCTAATCGGTTTTCGAATGGCAAATTTCGCCACAAAAATAAACAAAAAAATCCACCATACATCATCAAGTACAGCCGCAATTAAATTTACAACAAGGAAATCACCTGAGGCTCGGATTTATGAACGGACTTGTAGATGCTCCGACGGTGCTCAAAAACCACCGCTCCGGTTAACAAGCTCCCTAGCGCGGCACCCAACAGGCGCTCCTGCACATATTTTTACACGCAGCATATTAATTCAATACGAATCCCAAGTCCAAGGGGAGATTGATTTTTCTCAAAACGAGAAAAGGTAGACCAGGCCACCTGGGCTAAAACGCTGATCATGGTTTGTTCCAACAGCGATTGAGATAAGCGAAACGCAAATCGAAAGACCCTGCGTCGGAATCAGAATGACGACAGCATTTGATTTCTACGGAAGTCGAGTCGACATTTTCGCGTTCTTCCAATCCTTCGATTTCATTGGGCCGCAGATTTCTAATTTATTCATTTAGGCCCAGCTTTAATAAAGCCCAATAATATTGTTTTTTCATGAATTATAAGAACTTAATAAATGACTAAATAAATTGGATGTTGATTCTACAGTTTAAAAATAATAATATTTTAATTGCAATGTATAATTTGAAACAGCGTAGAAACTAATTTGTTTTTATTATTTATATAAAAGTAATAATGTAACGATAATCTATAATAAAAATAAATTTTATTTTTTCAATCACAAAATATACATATTCATATTTATTTTATATATATTTTATTGAGAAAATAATATTTAAATGTATATTCTAATTTTTTAATTATACAAATTAATTTTTTAAAAACTATTCACACAGATCGGATGATGTGTTGAATGATCAAATTGAGCAATGCTGAATTTAATCTCAATTAATAATTAAACAAATTAAATTATTTCTAATTAATTAAAATTATTGAACAATTAGGATATAATTCAAAATTTGCTGAAAAAACTAATCAAAATGCATCAATTGTTATTTGGTTTATTTTCAAAAAAATGATCGAATCGAACAATTATGAAAGTAAGTATATGAAAGCATTCAATTGGCTCGTAAAAAGCCACAACATTATTGTTACAAGTTAGCCAATGCAACAAACTTTTGACGAAGATCAATGGAACCTGATCTATTATGAATTCTAGATATAGCATGAATAGAATTTGAGTTTTCTATCATCACCAAATCAAATATCTCCCGATTATATTCGCAAAATTCCAAAAACTTGGGTATGATATTTCTTCAAAAATCAGAAAATTTTGAATCGTAAAAAAATCACCTTGAAAACCCTTACAGCGACTCCTTATGTCCAATATCAAAGCTCAGGATTAAGTAACAATTGATATTGTTTCATAGCCAGCTTACCAATATATCGGTAATATCGATAATACGCTGGTAATATTATTTTGACAATTGTTGCCAAATCCTAAGCTCCGACATTGGACAGAAAGAGCTATCATAATGGTTTTTCAATCGAACTTTTACCAATCAAGATTAACCAAGATTTGAAAAAATGTTATATAAAATTTTTGGAATCGTACAAATATTATTTGCGAGATATTCGATTCAAAGATATAAAAATGATTAAAAAAACATCAAAACTCTATTACTACCATATCTAGAATTCATAATTGATCGGATCCTATTTATCTTCGTAAAAAATTCATTTCACTGATTAACTGTGTCTTTCCATAAATCAATTGAATGCTTTCGTATATTTTACTTACCAAAACTCATGTTGAACGAGAATGATCTTAATTACACTCAAAATCAACTGGTCGACTATCACAACTAATATATTATATATATATATATATATATATGTTAAATCATTTATGGCATAATTAGATGGTAACATAAAATGGCGACATTTTTTTAGACCCTTTAATATATATATATATATATAAAATTAAGACAAGAATTGACATATAATATTCATGAAAAAAAATAAGTAATTTTATAAAGGAGTGTGAGATTGTATTATTAAAAATTCAAAAATATTATAAATCCGAAGTATTTTTAAAATAAAAAATTCATACATTATATTGAATTTTCTTGATCTAGTACTGTATAACTAACAAATAACAACAATTCAAATATAAAATTAATATCATATAATTAATATTTTATAATTGACAACTTACAAGATCTAAAATGACAGCACCTTCAATGACCATCATTGGTTCAAATTTCGAGGTCTTCAAATATTGTTCTTGTCACACCTTTTTTTATCAAAAGAAAAAAAAAATATTGTAAAACAAATTATGTTTAATTTTTGAAAATAATATGCAATAAAAATGATGAATAAAAAATAAAAAAAAAAAAAAAAAAAATCAACTTACTCGAAAATTAAAAAAGACTAGAATAACTTGAGAGAAAAGAGGAGATGGTTGTGGTGGTGCTTTCAAATGAAGGAAAATGGAGTCCTTTTATAGGTACTTTCACTAAGGGGAATAAGGCAAGTTTTAATTGCACCATAAATATAGGCATAATTATAGGATTTAATTCTATAATGGATAGACATTTTTTTGTAAATTAATCCGATAAAATAAATATCAATCATAATTATAGGATTTAATTCTAGAATGGATAGAGTTTTATTTTTTTTGTAAATTTATCCGGTCAACTTCATAAAATTGATGGTTACGGTGCTGATTTTTTACATCAGGACACGTCATATATGCAAATAACATACATTAGTATTATATACAATACATGTTATGTATACTAAAGGTATTTGCTGTTTTTTAATAATAACAAGTGTGTTGTATACAGTATGTCATGCGCTAAGATCAACGGTTGTGTGTTGTATGAGACTATAACATGTTCTGTTAGTTCACGTGCTATATTTGTATTATATTAGCATATATAATGTGTTGCCTGTAGTAATATTATGTGCCGTTGAGACTACAATATGTGTGTTCTGTTCATGTACTGTATTTGTATTATATTAACATATATAGTATGTTGTTTGTAGTAATATTATATGTTGTCTAATAGCACACGATGTATTGTTGCTGAAATTCAGCACTGTAGCCGCCCCCTCGAAACTATTTGAATATTTTGTTTGAGAAATCTTACGTGTCACTCATATGCACACATGGGAGATCATTAGGCTAGGTGTTCCATATCACAAATTTATTTTTACTTTATTATTTTTCATTTTTATATTGTATATGTATTTTTAATTATATATTGTGTTATTTTTATTTTCATTTTTATTTACTGTATATTTTTTAATTGATTTGATTTTGAATATTGTATTAAATTATTATTTTCATAATTTTGTAAGTTATATTTAAATTTTTAGGTTTTTTATTTAAAAAATATCAAAGAAATTCATCCATAAAATTAGAGTAATTTTTTTAGCAATCTATAAAAATTATATGTTTATTTTGGTACTTTAACTCTTGTATTATATGCATTTTTTTATTTATTTTTTGTTATTTTTATTTTTTAGTAATCAATTCTTATCTATTCGTGTTCTGTATGCATTTTTCTAATTGATTTGATTTTGAAAATTACTATTCTGATACATCTTTTTTTTTCCAAAAAGTCAAATTATATTCAAATTTTGAATATTTTGTTTTTAGTCTAATATGAATTATTAAGAAATATTGTTAATTTAATTAATATTTGAATTTCACTTGAAATATGAATACTGTAATTTATGGTTTTATTTTTAAATATTATGCAATATTTGCTTTTATTTTTGTTAGTAGATTTATTTTTGTTTTATTGGTATATGGTTTAAACATTCTTTTCAAATTGGCGATAAAAAAAAATGCGATAAGAAGATCAATATATATATATATTTTTCATTCATTCATAGATATGTATTTATTTCAGAATTTATTATAATATTTTATTTAATAAAATTATAAATAAATAATTTTAATCTAACTTAGGTTTGATTTAGAGTGGTATATCAATTTTTATTTTATTTATGATTTACTTGCTTACTTGATATTATTGTTTGCTTTTGTTTTTTTTACTATATATATTATTTAGTATATTGGTTGAATATTATTTTCAATTGCAGGCTAAAAACAATACTCCCTCCGTTTCAATACAATAGTCTTAATTATCATTTTTGTCCGTCTCAAAACAATAGTCTCATTTTCATAAATAATCATATCACTATAAAACTACATTTACTTTTTCATTATTATTACACAATTGCCACTATTTTTTACACTAATACACTCACAAGGGCAAAAAATTCTTTTATCCATATTTTTTATCCACTATCAATATAATATCAATATTTTTTAAATTCCGTATCAAACCCAACCTAGACTATAGTTATGGAATGGAGGGAGTATATAAACGACGATAAAATATTAATAATTTTATTTTCTTATTGATAGGTACAAATTTTTTTCAAAATTATTTTGATTTTAATTTAATAGTGATTATGAATAATTATTTTTTATCTTTATAATGTTTGAATTTAAATAGAATATACTACCTTCGTTCAAGATTAAACTTCTCGTTTACTTTTGGCGTCATTGTTTTTAACATTAAAAATATCATTATGTTTGTATATATATATATTTTTTTTGTACAAATGTCATTATATTACTATTATAAGACACAAATATTTTTGTCATTTTTTTTAATTTGTACTATATTTAAATATAATAATTAATATTCAAAGATCAACGTGCTAAAATAAATGAAAAGTTTAGTCTTAGACGAAAGGAATATATTTTATGAACAATTCATTCTGGAGTATTATTTATTTGATTTAGTTACCGTATTTTTTGTTTTTTATTTATAGTTTTTTATATAAATTAAATTTGATTATTTTTCATACGAATTTTTATTGTCAAAATAAAATTTATTATTTAAAATATAAAATTAAATTAAATATCACATTATATAATCACCGTAGCACGGTTATAATCTAGTATATATATCCACGTCATCCCCAAATAAAATGCAACAAGAATGTCTCAACTATGATTTTTAAGAGTTTCAAAGTTTTAAAAATATAATAATATAAAAAAAATGTATAAATACTCTCTCCGTATTTATATAATTATTTTTATTATATAATAATTATTTTTACGAATACACTTATTAATTACTTAATAATTATATTTTAATTAAATTTTTGTTTCTACAGTTACGTCGTGGAAACTTTAACTAAGGAAGAAATATTTTGTAAATAAAAAAAATATATATTTAATATAATATTTTTAAAAAAAGTAAATACTTCATCCGTTTATTTCTTTTATTTTCGTCAGTCCCAAAATAAGATTATAATTTCCTAATTTAGTAATTGTAATATCTACCGAACATAATAAATAGTCTTACAACTTACAATATATTATACAAATAATATTATTTTTATATTACACAATATTAATAGAAATATATATATTTTTACTACAATTCAATATAATACTAATATTTAAAAATCTAAATGCAAAAAGTAAACATTACAGAGGGAGTAGTAATAAAATTCAAAATTATACTCCCTCTATCTTTGGGTTATATTTACTTTTTGCATCATTGTATTTAATACTAAAAATATCCTTATATTTGTATAATTTTTTTTGTACAAATATTATTCTATTAATATTATAAGAATATTTTTATAATATTTTCTTAATCTGTATTACGTTTTGAATATTAATGCACAAAAATTAAATGAGACCCGGACGTACATAGTATTATGCAAACAAAGCCAATTTTTACAAAAACACATCCAAACACACCTTATATCTTTTATTAAAATCGGAATATCCCCCCAATTTAGATGCGCTAAACGTCAGCGTAATTTCCGCAAACAGAACAATTCGATACGTTTCTTATTCAAATTTAAATCAAAAGTACAGCGTTAAACAAAGCGCATTTCTGTTTCCATTTCTACCCCTCATAAAACCTCTCATTTCCCAATATACCCTTCCTTCAACCGAAAGGAAGTAAAACGACAAAATCCGCAAAGTCACAGCACAGCGAAGAACAGCTCACTCAGTCTTATCTCGCCCACGTTCTCTGCGGTGCGACCGAAACTGCCTTCCCACGTTTCTCAACAAAATCTCACGCAATTCCTCAACCGCCGGCATCTCTAATCGATATCTCGCTTTCTCTGCAATCATTTGGATCCAATTTTGCTCAGATCTCGTCAATGGCGGCAGTTTCCGGCGCTCTCCTGTTACCGACATTGTTTGCATTGGTTTTCTTCACAGACGCTGTCCTTTCCGACCATTCGCCGTCTCATCCACCGTCTTTACCTCCGCAACCACCAGCGGACCAAAAACCGCCTTCTCCGACCAGTCCGGCGCCGGCGCCGGCGCCGGCACCGGTACCCGCGCCTTCCCCCGGCGGTTTGTTCTCCTCTCCTCCGGCGCCTCCGGCGCCGGATCTATCTCCAACTCCGGAAACTGCGCCAACCGCGCCTCCGACTCCGGTGCCGGCGCCGGCGGACGCTGGAGAAGTCAGACATGAGAATCAGTCGTCGAGTGCAGGTGATTTGAAAACGGAGGGCGGTAGTTCCTCCGGTGGAATGAGCAGTGGACAGAAGGCAGGAGTGGCGATCGGAATCATCGGCGGCGCGTGCGTTGTAGGCGTCGGCGCGTTTGTGTACACGAAACGGCGACAGAACATCCAGCGCGCGCAGTACGGATACGCCGCCCGCCGTGAGCTTCTGTAGAAGTTGATTCCGTCGTCGGTGCGCTACAGCTACACAGCCTACACTAAAAGTACGTACGTACGTACAATTCTCTATATTTCTATACGTATATACGCAGATCGAGTGCTCTGTTCTATTATTGAGCGTCAATTTTTTTCTACAGCATTTAATCTTAGATTGGTTGGTTGAGGTGAGGTGATTTAGTTTCAATTTTTTTGCTGCTCATTGGCAGAAAGAATCTGTTGGCTTCTGAATGTTTATTTATTCTCAATTAGGTTTTGAACTTAACTCAAACCAAAAAATTCACAACATTTCTCAGATTTGAATTTGATGAGAATAATTGTAGGAGCATTCTTGTTTGATTATGATGAAGGAAGATCTAGAGGAATTCTTGATTCAACTAATGGTTATACCATTAGCATTAGCTTTAGCATTGGCAACTACCCGTGGGAGAAAGCGTGTTTTGCATTGGGTGTATGAGAGATCATAAATTAATAATCGAATCGTGTGTCGGTGCGTATATAATAATTCTCATTTGCACTGGTCTTTTTGCATCCTTCTTTCTTTTAATTTTTTTTTTTTTTTAATACTACGTGGATACATTCATCTAAATGATCAAAGTGTGTTTTTTAGGGCTGTTCCGGAAAATTTGGGTTTGAGTTTAATTTTTATTTGAATTTTGGGATATTTTTTAATTTTGTTTTCTTTTGTGTTTGGGTTTGGTCTGGATAATGAATAAAATAATATAAATGTATATTAAATTTAATTGATAAAATTTATGATTTGATTATGAATTTATATTATACCAAATATATATATTTACATTTTTATTTATTTGTATTATAGAAATTTTTATTCTCTACAAAATAATATATATATTAAATTATAATAAATATTTTAAAAGTGTTTAATTGAAATTTAAAAAAAGTATAATTATTACATAATTCAAAATATATTAATTAAAATAATTATTTTATAATATAATTTGGGTGTTTTTTTTGTTGAGTTTGAAAAAATTCATTTAAGTTTGATATTAAAATAATATTTGATGAGATATTTTGTGAGGGAAAAATATACGTTTTTCAAAACCGTCCAAACAATATAATTTGAAAAAATTTGGCCAAAAAAATATATTCTAAAATAATTAATTAATTTAATTAAAAGTAAAAGAATTATAAATTAAAAAATTTAAAAGAAAATTAAGGTGTAATTCTTTCAAAAAATAAAAATAGAAAATGACATGAAACCGATAAAAACGACACTAATTCAAAATACAAAATAAAATTTGAAAATTATTTTATGTTCCAACAATTTTAGTCGCGATATCATTTTTATTAGTTGCCTATATTATAATTATTATAGTCCATCTATAGGATTAATGACTTATATGCGTTGATTTATTCAGTCAACCATATGGATATATATGATTCAAAGCCTATTTTTATTTAATTATCCTTTTGTTAGAGAGATTAAAAAGGGAACGATTTTATTTTGTTTTTTTTCATAAATAATTCAAATATATCCACCGAAACTAGCAAATTGGTTATTTCCTTTATCATTTAAAATAATGTTTATTTCATCGGGTATAAATTTTTAAATAATAATAATAATAGAATTTATTTATATAATAAAAAAAAACTTACAAAAACTATATTTTTTTACTAAAAGGATAATAATATTTTTGAATGACGACGAAAAAGAAAATTAAGCATAAGTTTTGATGATTATGCGTATGGTGTTTAGTTCCAAAAACTTTACAATGTACTCCCTCCGTCCAAGACTAAATATTCTATTTATTTGTTGCATGTTTGATATTTGAATATTAATTATTATATAAAAATACAGTATAAATGAAGAGAAAATTTTTTTTAAAAAAATCAAATATAATTGAGAAGTTTAATCTTGGACGGAGATAGTAATTTTTTCTTATATTATATTGGATAAATAAATCTTGTATCAAAATAGATGTTTATGAATAAATTAATGAACTTTTATTAAATATTTTTATTTTTATTTATTTATATATTATATGGACAAAATAATAAAATTATTTAACTTTGTCTTTCCTATCTAACTCGTAGAGATAACAATGTGTTCGAATATATTCGAGTTCCGACTTGAACACGACCCATTTATTTGAGTTCAGGTCAAATTATACGGGCATCAAATCGGATATAAGTATGATTTTTAATAATAAAATCATCTAATCCCAACTTGAATCTTCGTATCAAATTCGATAAGATAATAAAATAATAAATTTTCAAAAATCCTTATATAAAAATTTAAGGTCCCATAATAAATAATTCACAAGTATTATAATTTGCTAAAATATGAATTTATGGTTACTTGCTTTTTCTTAAAATTTAAATATAATTGGATTTAATCTTTTAACTTCTTTAACTGCCGCCAAGAGTCTCGGTGTAAAATTATCTAGCTACAATAAAAAATTGTAAAAAGTTGTTGTCGTGCTTAAAGCCTCATTTTTTTATGACGGGTGCCAACGGTATTGAATCATCTTCAACTTCTCATTAGTAGGATCTTCAATAATATCGGCAACAATTTCCTCTAAATTTTGAATCGTTGAACAGTCATCACTTTCACTCAAATAGTCCACCAAATTGTTGATGTCCATTTCATTACCATAACCAATATTCTTGATCATATTCTCAAGCTCTCGTAAATTTTCTTCAAAGTTTGTCTCACTTGAGTCGCTTGAAATTTATTTATTTGAACGGATTTTGCAATGTCGAAAGCAATTTGCTATTGACACATGAGAAACATTAATGTTCAAGCGGAGATTGCAAAATTGATAGCATCTAAAACATTAAATTTATAATCTTCCGGTAGATTCTTGTAAAATCTCCTACGATAGTGCATCTTGAAAGCTCTTGTTATTCCTCCATCACATGGTTGAATATTTGATGTCATATTAGGTAACAAAAAAATATAACTGAACATTTCGTAACTTTTCAATATCATGTAAAAAATAACTCAATATTTCGTAACACTTCAATATTATGTGAATGGGCTCAACAATTGTCAAACCTTCAAATAAATTCTTCTATAATTCATTTTGTAATCAAATTAACAAACACATTCATGAAAAAGCACACTAATCATCTATGCCCTTATGTTGGCACAATAATGACAATTAATGTTGCTTTTATTGATATTTTTGAAGCAAAGTGTCTTTACATACTTTTCAATAATTCATAAAAAAAAGGATTTTTTTTCGAAATATCCTCGTTGCAACAAATAACAATCGTAAATCTCTATTTGTCTTTCTTTTTTCCTTCAAGTTGCTTGGTTGCAAGAGAGTGATCGACTTGTAACTTATAAAACAGACCTATTTCATCCAAATTAAAAATATTCTTCATAGGCAAATTGATTTATTTTCTCTCTTATAGCCTCCATCTTCATTTCCATGTCCTGCATGTCAACCGAACCATTTTTTCCAAAATGACGAAATGATTTAATACCATATCTTACATTGAATTTTCAAGCCAACTTTAAGAAAACTGATGTTTATGAGGATGTTGAGGATACAAAATATTCATTATGTCTTTTGCTTTCTCCAAAATAAACTCTCCAGACATATTGATTTGATCTTCATATTGAAAAAACCATTTATAAAAAATCTTCTCCATATCCAAATATTTCGCTGATTTGTGTCACTTAACATTCCTCGTACCTTTCTTAAATATGGCTAAAAGATACTCAAATGATCCCCTGAGAGTATTTGATATTGTAGCTTGACTAATTTTCAAATGATATTTTCCATAATCTATTATTGTAATTTTTTTAAAAATATTTTTTATAGCGTGGAAACTTACAGTTGCTACTAGTCGAGTGCGCTCTGGGTAAACCTCCAATCAAACCTAACACCCTGCAAATTAAGTCCGACAAGACAAGTTATACTAAGCGAACCATATGTAAATCTTCCATAGTGCATGTGGAATGGTCCTCTTATAATCAAATAATGCTTTACCCATTTGATCATTCATGAAAGCTTTTATAATGTTTTTTACATGAATATACATGATTGGATGTTATGAATTATTTTATTTTTACATGAAAATTTATATACTATACATTTCATTCATCATGCCTGATTATATTTAATTGGTTATATTAGTTATTTAATTGACATACCATATTTGATGAATTAATATATACTTTCTTAAATAATCCCTCCATCATTCAAATTTATTCACTTTCTTTTTTTGGTTGTCATTCAAATTTATTTCCATTTCTTTTTTTTAGTAAAAAAATATCATTTTTCTTTAAAAAAAAAAAAAGTAAAAATTTCTATTCTTACATATTTTTTTTAAAACTCGTACCAGGTCAGATGAACATACAATCGAATGACGAAAGTAATAGTTAACAGTATGCAATACAATGAATTTAATTAGTTCCAAAAAATTAGTTAATTCATGAATATAATCAATTAAACATATATAATTTCATTTATTTTCAATACATATGTACTAAATTTGTTGAATTTAAAAAATCTCTCCTTTAATTAATAAATTTATTGATATATTAATATCTCTTAAAATTAATAAAATTTCATGGTCCCAATAATATTAATTTACAGAGTTTCATTTATTATGTTTCCTTCCAATACTGGGCCCGATTTACTTAAACAGAGTCGTGTTCAATCCAACATTTCAACTTCCGTTGCGCAAATTTTGTTAGGATATTACCGAGAGGACCAAAAATAACTAAAAATACTCAGACTGGAAGTAATTTTCTGAGACTAAAAATGATTAATGTAGAGCATTGAATGAGAGCAATAACGAAATGTACTCAAAACTAAAAAACACAAAACGAAAATGAAAAGACAAAATAGCAATAGCAATTACCATGCATGATGCATTGTAAATTCATAATAGTCTGCCCGCAGATAGAAGTCTTAAACGAATCAAGTAACTCGTCAGCCAAACTCGTTTCGACTCGTTAATAGCTTGACTCGAGCTCGAGCTCGAAAATTATTTTTTTATAAACGAGCCGAAGTAGCTCAATTTTATATTATGTATATATTAGCGTAATATATATAATTTTTTATATTAAAATTTATATTCATTGTTAAAATTTGAATATTTTATTATAAAAAATTATGAATAAAATTAAATATATTTAATTTATATATTAAAAAGTATAGAATATGTATAAAAGTCTCGAGTTCGAGCTTCACAAGCCGAACTCGAGCTTGAATTTGAGCCTAACGAGCCGAGCTCGAGCCATTATTTTGACCCTGTACCGTTAACAAATTCGAGTCAAGCTCAAACAACCAATACTCGAGCTCACTCGGCTCGTTTAGCAACTTTACCACATAAATCCTTTATTCATTCAACTTCTCCCTCTCTCTCAAGAGTAAGAAAGAGAGTGAAGAAAGAAGTCCCGTGAGTGAGAGATAACCTGGTGGTGCAGGGTTGAACTTGTGACCGTAAGGTCATGGTTCAAATCCCGCCGCCTCCAGGTCTACCTATCACACATAGTTCACCTAGTGTGAATTGTCTTGTCGAGCCTGATTTGCAGGCGCACTTTCGAATAACGACGGCAGGTTTTCACGTTATCAAAAAAAAAATTAAAATAAAAAGAAAAAAAAAAAAAAGAAGAAGAGAGAGAGTGAAGAAAGAAGCGTACATTACACATACAGGACATGATACAACAACACTAATAATAATATTCTTTCAACGTACGTACCTACCTCACCTGTAACTATTTCTTCATCCTTCTTGTTCATCTGCAGGTGGGTCAACCCATCGGCCGTGCTCTTTGATCAGCTCGATCAGCGCATCCGTCGCCTCTTCCATCGCAATGCCTCGCTTCACCACCGTCTGATCACTCAACCACCCAAATATTTACTACTACTACTACTTCCAATATCAAATTATTTAAGTTAATCTCAATCTTTCCAAATCTAAATATTTTGATCATACCTTCCCAACATAAAGATCAATTTTTCCGGGAGCACCGCCCACGTAGCCGAAATCTGCATCTGCCATTTCTCCTGGCCCGTTCACAATGCAACCCATGATGGCGATCTGCAAATTGAGTAATAGCTTTACAAAAACAAGCCAAATTGATTCTTGTTTTGTTTAAATCATTTAGGTTAGAGAACATTGGTTACCGAAACGCCGGGTAAATGAGATGTCTTCTCCCTAATTTGCGCACTTATCTCTTGAAGATCAAACAGAGTTCTTCCACATGATGGGCACGAAACGTATTCCTGACATCATTTTCAACAAAAGCCGATGTAATCAGATTGCTTTTCGTTAGATAATACGTGCATGTGTGTGTGTCTTTATAATCATACTCACAGTCTTTGTGTTTCGCATTCGGCAGCCTTGTAACAAATTGAAGGAAGTGTTTCTGAGGAACTCAAAGTCCTGATCGGGAGCTTCCAACAGGACACCGTCTCCAAGTCCGTCTACTAGAAGTGATCCAGCACTTGTACCGGCATCAATGACTAAATCGTCCCTGTAAATGCAACAAAGATGCATCAAAGAAGGCTAAAAGTGTATTCATAATCCCGTAAGAAATGTTAATTTATATGTTAGTCTCTGAAATAGTGAAATGTAACAATTAGTCGATGTTTTGTACCTCTTATAAGTATCACTGAATGCTGATTTAATATTGTAATTAACTATAACTTTTGAAGTTAATATTAAATTTCACAATATCATGAGACAAATATAAATTGCCACTCCTAGTCAAGCTAAGGGAATGCTTACTGCAATAGATTAGTTATTCCTTTCTTAGCAAAACTGATTTAACTGTGTATTCTAACTTCTGTTCGTGCCAGTCACAATACTTTTTCAACCTAAAAAATATTAAATTCAAACTTGTACTATTTCAAAAATATCATAACATTTCTAAAACACAATTATAACAAACCCATCATTTTTCGGTAGATTCAATTGCCAAAGAACCTAGTAAAGCTCACATTTGCCCCAACTTACCTGTGAATCTGGTCTGGGAATTTTATATGATGAATTACTGGAAAATTCAAGGAGTTCTCGGAAAGATATTCGAAAAGCCTGCAACAAGAAATTAGGATAAATGTCAAGAGAATGCCCGGTGCACATGAGCATATATATATAGATATATAAGATTTTGAGATCCATTTGCAAAATGAAATACCTTCTTGCAGCCTGAACTCTCCCAGTTTTTTCATCATAGTATGGTACATTGTGAAGGATCATTGTAACATCAACACTCTTGAGAATTTTTAGATATTCTTCAGGCTCATCGCCACGTACAGTGACTACCAAACGAGTACCTGACAAATTACGTATTTTGGAGTCAACAATGACCACAAGTAGCTTTGGTGTATCCGAAATAATTTTAGAATTAGGAAAACATGTACCTTCTGAAAGAAGCTTGTGGGTGCCAGTGCTCAAGTCAGCCAGAGATACCAAAGCCATGGCATTCGGCAACGGTTTTGTCAGCTGCTCATTTACAGGAACTATAACTCCCATACTAACATCAATCAATCGTTTGAGAGCCAGACGCTGGAAATAGAACATGAAATATGTTCCAGTCATTTTTCATGCCTGGATATATATTGAAGTGATGGATCAAAAGTTCGAGGTGAATGAAAAGAATGCTTACAGCATCTTTATCGTCTAGTGGCGGAAGTTCTCTCACCAATATTGAGTCCACAGTTGCCAGATCCTATAATTGTATCGAACATTTCCTTTAAAATTAAAATCAATCCCAGTGAAGAAAATCTAAAATTCATAGTCTTCACAAACAAATGATCTAAGGATAACCTTAAATGGCATTCCGAGAACAAGTTTTGCTGCTAGAGACCTGTACAGAAGTTCGGGTGCCTAGAGGCAGAAAGAACAGAAAAATTTAAACAAAATGAGAACAGCACCAGTCATTTCAATACAAAACAAGAAATACAGTACTCTTATAAGCCAACATAAAACATGAGAAAAGCATTGCAGGTCACCTTCAACTGATCCAATGATACAGACATCAAAACAGAGCCATCACGGTGAAGTACACCTCGGTAATCAACCTCTTCACCCTTTATCCGAGTAAAAAAATATATCAGAACAACAGCTTCCAAAAAATTCTTTCTAGATGGATCAAGTACAATATTCATTGAAATCTCACCTCCTTTTGAACAGGCAATTGACCACTCCTGCGCTGGAAATCAAAGTAGTGTCTGTATTTTTCTTCAAATGGTGCCTACATAACATTGTTAACAAGAACACAATTTTGTAAAAAGTTGGGAGTGAGAGTTGAATGAAAAAAAGTATACACATTGCAGTTGGTATGTACCACTCCTTTCTGAAGCTCAGCTGCTTTCATGCCAAGATTAGCTAATCTTCGACAAGGATCTATCTCTTCTTCCGGAGCTTCAGTTAAGGAAACTCGAATAGTATCACCTAAACCATCCTGCACAATTAACACAGATAGTAGATCTTTTAATTAGCAGTAAGCAGGAGAGGTCCCCATGATTTAGAAGTACACTGTATATAATTCTCTTTTACTGATGAGAATGAATTGGATTAGACCTGAACAGAAACAAGTTGAGAATAAATCTAACAAACATTCAATTAAATGCACTGTGATTAGAGGACGTACCATAAGAAGTGTCCCAATACCTATAGCAGATTTCATTCGTCCATCTTCACCCTCACCAGCTTCAGTTACTCCTAAATGTAATGGGTAATCCCATCCCAGAACATTCATTTCAGCTACGAGAAGGCGATATGCCTGGACCATAATCACCGGGTTGCTTGCTTTCATTGAGAATACAAAGTTGTGGAAGTCTAGTTTCCGGCAAATTCTTGCATACTCAAATGCAGACTCGACCTGTTATAAGATCAAATAAACAAGATAATAATAACTGAAACAGTAAAAATTGTACAAGGGTGTTTGCTAAAGTGTTGGAAATAGCCATTTACCATTCCCCTGGGTGAGTCCCCATAGTAGCTCATGATTCGATCTGAAAGACTACCATGATTTGTTCCAATTCTCATTGCCCGTCCGTACTTCTTGCATTTCTCAACTAATGGAGTGAAAACCTATAAATGGAGAGCACAAGCATAAACATAAAAACTTATGAAAACTTATATATTAGCTATAGGCAGCAGAAACGTCGGGCATTGACCTGCTCAATGTGCTCAAGTTCTTTTTGATAATCATCATCTGTATACTCCAGCTTCTCAAACTGTGCTCTCCGGTCAGCTAAAACAATTCATCTGAATAAATTAAACTATAAAACCACATTTTCGTCCAGAGAAAAGACAAGGAAATAGGATTACCAAAATTTCCTGGATTAACACGAATTTTATCAAAGCATTCAGAAACTCGAAGCGCAACAGATGGGGCAAAATGAATGTCTGCTACCAGAGGGATGTTGTAGCTGCATAAGTAGCAACCATATGAATATATATGCTTTTGATGAATTCTGTAGGCCTATCATTCACTTGTCTGAGCACAAAACATACTTTTTCTGGACAAGAGAATTTTTAATTTCGAAACATGCATCTGCTTCTTTTTTCCCTTGAACAGTTATTCTAACAATATCTGCTCCTTGGTCTGCTATTCTCATCACCTGCACGTATATTATTCTTTAAGCACACTTGTCTGATTATCAGAAAGCTTATCAGAGACAGCGACATTATGATATGTTAAATGAATTAACTTAAAAACAATACAACTCAAACCATAAAAATATGAAGATCTCTTCCTAAATAAGAAACTATGCTGAATCAGAACCTGTTCAACTGTCGCAGCTACATCCTTTGTGTCTGTTGTGGTCATTGTTTGAATTCTGATCGGATGCTCACTACCAAGAGCCACATTCCCGACCATCACTGTGCAGGTTTTCCTCCTTACAGTTTTGTAAACAGATTCACAATATCTCTGTCTCGGAACTGCATCCAAAAAGTTGATGATGCAATACTACCTTTAAGGTGGTCTAAAAAAGTATACGCTAATTAAGTTACTGATTCAGAGGGGCAAAAAAGGAATAGAAGAAGGAACTCCTCAAGAAGTTTTATTAACTGACTTTGCAGCAATAAAGTGCATTATCTATAGCATGCAAGCAAATTTCATGATAAAAATACATACTATTCTGTTAGCTACGTAAGGTAAAGGCCAACTGCATAAGATTGGAGTTTCTCTCTCTGTAATGCAGCCATAAAACAACCAAAGCAATCAATTAGAATGATGAAATATGAAACTTGTAGAGGCCCTGATCAGTGTTCAACAATTTTCTTCTATATATGTAAAATTCGAAAATCTTCCACCTACTAGGAATTGATACAAAGGCCCACTTTGCAGACAGTGTCTTTTAAAAAACAAAACAAAAAAGGAGGGCTTATGAAGTTAGTTGGAATGTAAGTATTGATGCTTCTAACAACATACAAAAAGATGAAATAGATGCTTCATGTAGCTTGATTTATTTAAAATAACGTCACTATAATCCCAGATAACATTATATATTTTCACCAATATCTATAACTAACCTCAGGTCATCCTCTCTAATTCTTTTGAGAAGTACGCTTGATACTGAAATTTAGTTATGGAGTCACTATCATTTATTTTATTGTTTTCTTTTCTAAATGTTTGTCATTTACAACCATTCTAACTACTATTTCAATTGATCTTAACCTCTAATGAATAAGTAAGTTTAAAAGTGAAAAACATAAGCTTTTGCAAAGAGCCAAGACTTCACACCTAATAGTGGGCTTCCATCTGATGCCGGCTCAAGTTCAACAGTTTCGGAACCAGGATTTGCAACATTTCTGATCACAGCAACCCTTCTCCGGCGGAATTTCACCCTTTGCAAGTTTGAAACCCTAACAAAATCTAAACTCTTAGCAAATCCAACGTCGTGATGGTCCTTGCTTCTGATACTTGTAAACGAGGCTGGAATGGAACAGGTTGCCATTTTCACCCAAGTGCAGCTGCTTACTCTAGCTGTAATACAAAAAAAAGCATACAAAATATGTATTCATAATCAGGGGGATATTCTTCATAATTAAGACATCAATCAAACATGATACTACACTCTGTTGGAGTAAGAAATCAGAGCAAAATATTGCTGAATTAAACAACTGAAACATATGCTCATCAAATCGGATTATCAACGAACCAACAAGGCGATAATCCAAAAGTCAACCGCAAAAACAAAACACAATCCGCAGCGCGGAATCAGGTAAATAATCATTCAATCTAAACAGAAATACCAAACAAACTCTAAGTTGAACCAAAACAAACACTGATGTAAACAATCACTTATATCCCCAAGAAACTCCATAAAAAGATAAAATTAGATGAAAATCCAGTTAAGAAATCAAAAGCGTCAACTTAATCAGAATTCACGGAGCAGAAAACCTGCAATAGAAGAAGGATTTGATACACAAAAGTCCTAACAAGATTCCAAGCTGAAGATTACTGAGAAAAGTGGGGGTGGGCGCAAATTGAAGGGGAGTTGCTCGAAATGGGAATCCAAATGTTAGAGGGAAAACAAAAATAAAAACATGAAGAAGAATTGAGAAAAATTATACTCACAGAAAAAAGGATAATTCCATAAAACTCAGAGCTTGAGCATTTGTGGCTTTGGTGTGTAGGTATTGGCAGCCATAGAAATGCTTCCAGAGCTCTCTCCCTACTACCAAACAAAATCGGTAGCAGACAATGCCTGAGAAATTCTGACACTCGTGAAAAATGCACAACTTCTGTTTATTAAAATAAAAATAATAAAAACAAAAATAAATAAATAAATAATAAAAATAAAAATAAAAATCTTGTCCCATCTTGTAATTTTCTTTATTTTCATTTTGCCCCTCTAAATGTACAGTGTTAAGATAATTAATTAGTTTAATTAAAATTTTTAAAAAAAATTAAAAAATTTAAAACGAGATTAAAATATATAATTATTTTTTTTAAAAAAAAGTATCATAAAATGTGGGACAGACAGAGACACGACAACATGGACATAGTACGGGAGAAGGAAGGAATATTACTTTAATTTTTATTTTTTTTATTTTTTATACTAACAATTAAACTAAATCAATCTAATACAATTATTTGGTCAACAAGTTAAAACGTATCACAACAATTAGCTAGGAAGTAAGCACATGCATGTTCAATGCAAAGATAGGACAGATTGTGGGGTGGGTGGGTGGTCCCCAAATTGCTGATGTAGGTACGATCATTTTGTCGCCTAGTATTTTTTTAAATTTTATTATTTAATTTTGTATTTTTTTAATAAAATATTTTTTTTTCTTACAAAATATTTCATCATATTTTATTTTAATATCAAATTCAAACTAAAATTTTCCAAATTCAACCAAAAGAAACACACTCTTACTATTATAGACGATTCATCAAAGGATTGTTCGGCTAATATGAAAATATACTATTCTTTCCGGTCCATTTCAAATTAGCTGTTTAGAATTTCAAATCGTCCGGCTCCAAGAGACTCATTTATTTTTTGTGTGTTGATATTTAAATATTAATTATTATATCAAAATGTAGTACAAATTAAAAAAAAATTACAAAAATACTTTTATTAGTGTCTTATAATACTAATAAAATGATATTTGTACAAAAAATTATACAAATATAAGGATATTTTTAATATTAAGTACAACGATACAAATGGTAAATGTGACCTAGGCGGACGAAATGAGTAATACTTCATTGATTAGTGAAAATGTGTAAGAAATTTTAATATTTTTGTCATTTGACTTTACGTATAAAATAATTATATATGTAATCATATGTTTGTAATTTAAGTAAAAATTAAAATATTTTAGTATTAATGTGAAATTATTTTTTCTAAAATAAAAAACGGATACTTACGCACAAAAATAATAAAAGTAATATTTTGAAATGGGGTGAAATGGAGTATAATATTGGTATTCCACATTTTAAAGTTAGGGGCCTTGACTATGTATAATACGTTGTCTTAAGTATTTTAAATATGTTGTCCTATCTTTTAGGGTTTAAGCATAATTTTGAAGTAATTATTACATTATAGATAAAATGAAAGTTTACCAATATTTTTCGGTGAAACTAATGAAAGTAGCAGTTGTAAATATAATTAATATTGTGTTAGTTTTATAAATAATTAATAATATATTTCTTTTACACATAATCAAACACAATTTTACGTGGTATATATTAGAGCGGGCAAAAACTGACCTGACACAACAATCCGACACGAAATAATTGAATTTGGGTCAAAGATTTCAATCCGATTATGCATAAGGATTGACACGAACTCGACACGATAGTAAACCGATCGAGTTAGGGTTGAAGCTGTCAACTTGAAGCCAACACGACAACCCGATTATAATATATTAATATTGATTAATATATTTATTATATATGTAATATAATCATAATTTAATAATTTTCTCATAAATTAATTTAAACTAAGTTCAATTTTAAATAATTCAACCTAATTTATGCTCAAACCAATAAAAACTAACGTAACACACAGCCTAACAAAAAATTATTTAATTTGAATCAAGAAATTCGACTTAATTATGTATACGGGTCAACACGAGTCAATCCGAACCCAACACGATAATAAACGGTCAACACGAGTCAACCCGAACCCAACACGATAATAAACGGGGAGGGGCTCCAACCCACCCCCATTTTTAAAATTTCAGGATCTAACCGGATCCGACCTATTGACAGTTCTACATGCTTGTTTGCTTTTCAATTTTTTACGTTTCAATTTTAAATAAAAATATACTATTATTTTTTACAGAATATTTAAAAATAGGAAAAAAAATTAATACCTTTAGATCAAGATCAAACGAATCTGCCTCTTGAAAAAAAATTAATATGACTTTAATTTAATTTAAATTACATAATCAAAATTCAAAGTTTATGATATTAAATTCGGATCTAATAATATGGATGGATCCAGTGTCGATTCAGTATGAACAATTCCGTCTAATTTAATTCAACCATTTTATAGAATTTGTCAAATAAATATACGAAGCTCTATTTATTTTTAAATTTGATTTTAGTTTACAATTATTTCCAGTAAAAATAAACATCTGTCCCTATAAAAATAATATTAAAATATTACATAAATAAAAATTCAAACTACAAATTTTAAATTTAAAATGCTAAAATTTTTTTGAAGGCATAGGTAAACAGAACCTGATAACTTCATTAACCATCCATCCATTTATAGATAACAAAGCCCAACTATCTATATGTTCCTATATTTTGATTTTTAGGTGAAATAATTTTAAAAAAATAATACTCCCTCCGTCTTATAACAACCTCCGTCCCATAACAACGATACTATTTTCTATTTTTATCTATCTCAAAACAAAGATACAATTTTCTTACCTAATATAATTGATACCGTATTTGTGTCATTTTTACTATAAACCAATATAATACTCCCTCTGTCCCGGAACTAAATATCAATTTGCTTTTTGTACGTAGTTTTAGAAATATTAGTATTATATTGGGATATAGTAGGAATAAAGTAGAAATGACTAAAATAACCTTATTAGTATGTGTGATATAAATGTAATGACATTTGTGTAATATATTGTAAGTTGTAAAAATATTTGTAATGTTAGGTAGATAGTACAGTTATTGAAAAATGAAATAAATACTTTGTTATGGGACGGACTAAAATGAAAAAATGGATACTTTGTTATGCGACGAAGGAGTACTAATATTAAAAAATATATATGCAAAAAGTAAATTTTACTTTCTTCCGGGACAGATGTAGTATATTTTTATAGAAGAAAATAATTGCGACCATACGGACTTCATACCATTTAACCGTTAAAAGCTTTTCCAACCTCTATAAACTCAAAAAAAGTGCCAAATCTAATTCACTCATATACATACATACATACATTATCCAATCAAACAACACGACAGATACAAGTATCCTCATGCCCTTAGTGAAAAATGCATCCCTTCAATTCTTGCCAAACGATAAAATGTGTATATGTAGTGTAGGTTTCTCTAAATCAAAAAGATAATGTTAAAGACATTAAAGTCTACAACTTTGATACAACAATCGAAAGAGTTTCGTCGTCTAGATCGCCAAAATGCAGCAGACATAGATCGATGGTTGTGGAATAGCTAGGGTGATGGAAATGGAGATTCTCGGCATCAATTCAAGATACTACACTGCTATTTTCATCTATCAGACTGTGTCTCTCCAGGATTGCAACTGTTTCCTCTTTAGCACTGCCAACATACGAGTAAGATTATCAATGAAATGTACCGATCAAAAAAATAAAAACATAAAAAGATTATCTATGAAATGCATGGCTAGTCAGTTTAATCTAGGCGCTAAATCTTCAGCATAACAATATATCGATCAGTTATCTATCTATCCGATACTTTTTTTTTCTAAGATTTGTCAATTTAGAACCTTTTCACTCTGTACACAAGTTTTAATAAAAATACACTATTTTTTCTCACAAAACATAACGTCAAACTATTATTTTAACAAAGACTCAAACATAACACCCTATTTCAAATCAATTTCAAACTACAACAAAAAAAACCCTTAGTATTGTTCGGCAGGAAATGAAGATCTACCCAAAAATCAAGTTTCACAAGCATGTATAAGAGAGATTATATATATATATATGATGGCGGTTATGGTTTTGAATGTTATTGTTATAATTTAGCACTCCGTTGACAGTACATGAAATATAAATTAACAGCACAAAATTAATGTTAATATAATATAACTAGCCATAAGAATCGATAACACAAGACAATAGTACATACTACTATTGATCTTAGTGTTAGGTTAACTAGAGCACATATAGAATATAAATTGACAGCACACGATAACAAACTATACAATACATACTATATTAACTCAAATCATGTGTTATAGGTGATGATTAATACCTAATCAACACCTTAACCATATATATATATATATATATTCTTACGTATTCTAATAAATGATATATAGAAACCTGGAGCATCTATAATCGAATCGAATTTCCTATCTATGCAACATTGTTTCAAAAGCTTCTATTAATTTGGAAGGGAGATTGAATATGCAGATGATAATTGTTAAAATAAATACTCTCTTAAGCTAATCCATGAATTATGAAATGCTTACCTTCCGGGTCTGAGAATCTTGTATTTCCCTTGTTTAGTAAGATCAACCACTGTGGATCCTGCACGTCCCGATGGAAGCACGCCACCATTATAGATGTATGCACAGTGCTTCCAAAGGTCTTCAAAATCTTTGACATCGACACTACTAGGTTGCCCACTAAGGTTTGCGCTTGTGAGAGCCAAGGCAGTCCGGGATCCTCGAGCAATTGCTCTAATGAAATCACTGTCGGGGACTCGTACACCTATGCTGTCTAATCCAGGATTTAGGGACTTCTCGAGGACACTAGAATCCCCTTAAACACATCAAATTAAAATTTCAGGGAACACAGCTTGTAACACTGTAAATAAAGCTTAAAAAGAAGGAATTTTATTTTACTGAGACAAAAGCTCGATAACGCCTTAAGAGATCATAGAAGCCCTTTCACTAGAATTTAAGACAAGCAACGCAATAAGTTACCAAACCTCGTCTTAGGACCACGGTTACAGGCCCGGGAAGAAGGGACTCGAGCAGCCCAAGAGGCAAGTGGTTGGTGGCGGCAAAATGCTGTATGTCATGAACATCGGCGACGCAGATCGCAAGTGGACTAGTATATTTACGCCCTTTGATCTCATATATACGGCGAACTGCCTCCACAGAGCTGCAAGGCCGAATATCAACATGCCAATTTAATTGACAACAATCAATGTCATTCGATATATAATTATATTTTGCAGAACAAAGTAAACACAAATCAATTTTAACCGCCTTCTAATCACTCATCAAATATCAAACATAATTTACCAAATTAGAATTCCATGCATTTCTTAGCAGCACAAAATAAATAAATCTAGTACACTCACAAGTGCACAAACTATGAATAGGCAAACAAACAGAAAACACCAACTACTTGAGCATATTGTTATTAATTGAAACTAGCTAACCCCATAGTTGTCAATTTCGAATAGTATTACATAGTGGACAACCTCTAAAATACTATAATGGGATAGCGGGTTGCGGATCGCGGGTAGTGGGATGACTAATGTCAAAAGATTTAAGAATATACATATAAAAATTATTATACATACAAATTTACAATAAAAATGTATTAAAAAAAAATCTATAGATTAATCACGTAATTATCATTCAAACTGATAAAATTACAAATAATATACAATCATAATTCATAGTTATATAAACAAAAACAATTAGATAACAACGAATTCGATAAGTAAAAAATCAAAGTTGTTCAAAATATGATAAATAATTTTCTTCATTTTCACCGTCCTCAAAGCTACTCTTGTATGAATATTCTTTCTTCTTCTTCACTTTCGTTCATTCTTCCATTGTATACTTGTTATAGTATTACAATGTTATTTCCCTTTCTAGAGCGAGAAGTAGCCATGGTATAATAGAATTAATTTACATTTACCAAATACGAGTAACAAATATAATATTATATTGTAAAATCTAAACCTACTTATAATAAAGATTGTAATATATTATTCAATTTCAAAGGTGCTTTGCTCTGCACCCCTAAAAGTCAACTACGCCACTACTGCGTAAAAGCAGCATCACAGAACGTCGGCAGCAACGAACTGCCGCTCCATTCCGATACACTGCTATTAGTGCACTATAGCGCGTTATTGACAACTATGGCTACCCCTAGTTCAATAAAGGTTCAAACTCAGTTAGATTGGAAAACGTCCGACAGCTAATTGAACCAAGCATGCTCATATCAAAATATCAAACTACCATCTCAAGCAAGCACATCAAAGAGAACAAATTTAGCATTTCACCACCAGAAAAGGATTCAAGAGTTCGATAGGAATTCTAGGTTGAACAGCTAGCTCGAATCTTTCGACAAACAAGTGCAAGCTTAAGCTGAAACTCTAACCATTCATTCAACAGTTTATTTTAGTATCCATCTAAGACAACAATAATCAATCCTTGCACAAAGAAAAAAAAAATGATATATATATGTATTAAGAACTATTCAATGCTCCACATAACATAATCATGCCCTAAAAATTGAATTAATGAAATTGAGAAAATTGAATCTCTGGTATATACCAAGCATCACAAGCAAATCCATAGAGAGTATCAGTGGGCACAGCAATTACTTTCCCACTCCTCACAGCTTCAATCGCCTCCTCCACGCGATCCTCCGTAGTCAGACGCATTAATCCCTCGCCATTACCCAAACCAATCGAATCCATCCTCTTCGCGCACGCCCCTCCAATGCACCTCCTAATTCGAAATGCGTCCGCAAAACGCAGCCTCGGCGGGACTTGATGAAAAAGCACAGAAAACATCTTATCAAACTATTGACACGCTTAGAGAAGAGAATGCGAAATTGGATTTGGTCGAAACGAAAAAATGAAACTCATCCAACACCTGGAAAAGTTGAGCACCTGTGGAGCGTCGAAGGAAGGAGGCGAATGAAAGTGATAAGGATTGAGTCCCGGCGAAGCTTGTGGCGACAATCGTTGGCATCAGAAGCCGCCGCCCTCTGCTGCTACTTTATCTTAGGATTCAGTCAGAGCTGCGACGGAGCTACGGTGAGCAAAATACTATCGTCAGACTGCCGTACAGACGACGACTTCTGGATTTTGGAGAAGAAGACTGTATTTTCATTTTATTTTACTTTTAGTAGTGGGCCGGGATTCGTAGAGATGGGCTTTCTTGGGTGTGTTATTATTATTATTATTATTATTATTATTATTTAATAGAATAATTTCTCATAAATATTAATCTTTCCGTCCACTTACAAATGTTTACATATTTTTATTTTGGGACGTCCAATTACAAAGTTAACATTTCATTAAATACCTTATTTTTTTCCACAAATACCTTTACATTACATCACATCATTACTTTTACACAAAAAAAGTAAAAGCAAAAATGTCATTACATTACTTTTAACTACTCACTATAATTAAAATACTATTATTTCTTAAACACCGCGCCAAAAATAAATATAAACTTTATAAGTGGACGGAGGAAGTATATAAAATATACACATATATGGATATAAAATATATAATTTTCACTCATAACCAACTATTTAATATAAAATATTATTTTTTATATTACAAATAGTACCACATAAAAAAAAAATCGATTCATCTAAGAAAAACCTGATGAACACCTAATGAACAGATAGTCTATTATTATTTTATAACTTTTTTAATGATATAAGAACTACAGGTGTTACTATTTGAGTGTAAATTTGATTTAATGTAACAATTTGCAAATTAAATTAGTATAAGAAATTATACTAGTTATGTGTGACAAATAAAACCGAAAACATAATTTAGTAGTAAATTTTGAACATAAAAAAATATTTAAATAATTATTTGATATAATATAAATAAAAATGTTATAATTATTTTTTAGATATAAAATTATTTTTAAAATATTATTAAAAATATAAAAAAATAAAATTTTAATTTAATAGTATTTTTTTTAAAAAAAAAATAGTGAATATTTTTAAAAACCTTCCATACCCCAAACTCTGTGGTGGCCTTATATTTATTTTATTTTTAAAATATTCCATTTAAAATTTGTGCTTTATTTAAGTACTCGTATTAGCCGTCAACACTTGATCGTCTCTTATTATTTATCGACATTGTAATTCTGGGGTTGCATAGAATTTTAACAAGTTGTTACGTTATTTCAATAGTGTTATAAACCACGCAGCACTTACGTCGACAAAATGTGAATACTTTACGATCATTCATTTACTGACTCACGCATTTATAAATATGTGTGCTTTAGGCAATAAAAATACAATTTACAATCATTTCCCTTGCCTCTCTCTCTGCATTAATTGTCCCCTTCCCCTCTGCATTAATTGTTTGCTTTCAAATACATTCAATATAATACACATATATTTATATACATAGCTTTCAAATACATTCAATATAATACACATATATTTATATACATATAAACATACATCGTACACACACAAACATCTATATATATATACATACATTTAATACTTACACAATAATTATATTATATTATTATTATTATATAATACGTTATCAGCACGAGGGCTCTTGCCTATTTTATTTTTGGTAAGTTCTATTTTTACATTATCTATATTATCTATTTTCTAAACTATGAAAAATCTTGCAAAATTTTCTTTTAAACCTCTTTCTCTCACCGGCAATAATTTTCTGACTTGGTCCCTGGATGTAGAAATGCATCTGGTTTCAATGGACCTTGTTCATACAATTGCCAGTGAAAATACGGCTACAAGCCAAGATCAGGCTAAGGCTATTATTTTCATCCGTCATCATTTGGACATTCCTCTACGGTCAGAATATTTGACGGTGAAAGATCCACTTGATTTGTGGAATGAATTTGGGGAGAGATTTGGGCACTTAAAATATATCACTCTCCCCAAAGCCCGACATGATTGGCTTAACCTGCGGTTGCAGGATTTTAAAACTGTTACAGAGTACAACTCTGATATCCATCAGATTACATCTCAGTTGAAACTCTGCGGAGAAAATGTTACTGAGAATGATAAATTGGAGAAGACTCTCTCTACCTTTCATGCTTCTAATGTTGTGCTGCAACAGCAGTATCGCGATAAAAATTTTCAAAAGTACTAACAGCTCATTGCATGTCTTTTACTAGCTGAGCAAAATAATGAGTTACTGATGAAAAATCATCAGTCCTGGCCCGCTAGTTCCAGTCCGTTCCCTGAAGCGAACGTGACATTTTCTGAACGAGGCCGAGGATGTGGACGTGGTCGCAGTCGTGAAAGTCAACGCAGTCGATATACCCCTTACAATCGCCGCAGTTTTGACATTAACAGGATGCAGAGTAAACCCCAACATGGGGATATAGCCGAAAAGGCTAAACAGAGAAAGAGGCAAATTGACAGTTGTAATCGGTGTGGCATTGAAGGTCATTGGGCCAATAACTGCAGAACAGCCAAACACCTAGCCGATATTTATCAAGCTTCACTGCAGAAAAAGGGGAATGAGGTCGAGACTAATCACGTTGATAACGATGACGACCCCGATGATGATCTTTTGGATTACGACACAATGCATCTTGATATAACGGATTTTGTCGTAGATCCAGCAAACCCCCAGTGATAGGCATATTATGTCATTTTACATTATGTTTTGTAATATTTAAATTATCGCATATTACCTTTTTGTAATGCATTTTGTAATACTTATATCTGCCTTTACTAATACTGCATTATTTATATTTGAAGGTTAAATGGATGCCAAACAAAATGATGCAAATATGTGTTTCATTGACAGTGCAACGACACATACTATATTAAAACACGAAAAATATTTCTCCCATTTGAAAAGGGAAAGAATGAATGTCAATATAATAAGTGGCAGTGCGAAATTAATTGAAGGCTCTGGAGAAGCCATTATATTTCTCCCCGCGGGGACGAAAATTGTGATACAGTATGCACTGTTGGCCACTAAAGCTCGAAGAAATTTACTGAGCTTTCATGACATTCGGAAAAATGGTTATCACATTGAAACTATGAGTGATACCGATGGTGAATTTTTATTAATCACCAATATCATTGATAAAAGGAAATGCATCATTGAGAGATTACCCTCACTCTCTACTGGCTTATATTATGCCAAATTAGGTGTTGTTGAAACACACCTCACGGTAGATCATAAGACTACCGATTTTCAAATATGGCATGATCGCCTTGGGCATCCTGGCATTATAATGATGAGGCGAATAATTGAGAATTCGTATGGCCATTCATTAAAAGATCAAAAAGTGTGAAACTCAAATGAGTTAACCTGTGTTGTCCGCACTCAAGAAAAATTGATAACCAGACAATCGCCAACTAAAGTAGGTATTGAATCACCTACATTTTTGGAAAGAATACACGGGGATATATGTGGACCAATAGACTCACCATGTGGGCCATTTAAATATTTTATGGTGCTTATTGATGCATCTACCAGATGGTCACATGTCTGTTTATTATCTACTCGCAATATAGCATTCGCGAGATTGCTTGCCCAAATTATTAAATTACGGGCACAATTCCCCGATAATCCAATTAAGACTATACGTCTGGATAATGCTGGTGAATATACATCAAATGCATTTGATGATTATTGCATGTCGATTGGAATTAACGTAGAGCACACAGTTGCTCATGTTCATACACAAAATGGCCTGGCAGAATCACTTATTAAAATATTGCAATTGATTTCTAGACCATTACTGATGATGTCTATGTTGCCAATTTCAGCTTGGGGGCATGCAATCTTACATGCAGGAACACTTATAAAAATGAGGCCGACAAGCTATCATAGCTATTCCCCAATGCAGTTAGTATTTGGTCACGAACCAAATATATCTCATCTACGTATTTTTGGGTGTGCTGTTTATGTTCCTATTCCACCCCCCAAACGTACAAAAATGGGTCCTCAACGTAGATTGGACATTTATGTCGGATATGAATCGCCGTCAATTATAAAATATCTTGAGCCTATGACGGGTGATTTATTCACTGCAAGATTTGCAGATTTTCATTTTGATGAATCATATTTTCCGACATTAGGGGGAGACAAAAATGAACCGAAAAGGGATATTAATTGGAAAATCCCATTGAATTTTTGTGACCCTCGTACAAAGCGGTGTGAACTAGAAGTTCAACGCATTATACATTTGCAAAATATTGCAAATCAGTTACCGGATGCATTCAATGACTCGAGCAAAGTCACTCGATCATATATCCAAGCTGCTAATGCTCCGGCTAAAATAATTGTCCCTGATTGACAAATTGGAAGTGCTAATGAATCAGCGACACACTTAAAGCATGGTAGACCACTCGGTTCCAAAGACAAACATCCTCGAAAGAAAAGATGAATTAATGATCATAATCATGAAAATATCAGGAATGACATTGATAAACCTCAACCTAATGAGGAAGTCAACCCTGAAATAATTGCTCCAGAAGAGCACGATCTTGAAGAACATGATGAGATTATTGAAAACTCAATTAACTATGTTACTTCAAGAAAATGTTGGAACCATAAAGAGGCAATTATTGATAATGCCTTCGCATACAATTTAGCACTTGATATAATGGAAGAAAACGATGATCCAGAGCCAAAATCGGTTCATGAATGTCGGCAAAGAAATGACTGGCCAAATTGGGAACATGCGATTCAATCAGAGCTTAACTCATTAAACAAAATAAAGGTCTTCGGACCAATTGTTCAAACGCTAGATGGTATAACACCAGTTGGATACAAATGGGTGTTTGTACGAAAAAGAAACGAACATAATGAAATCGTGAGATATAAAGCCCGTCTTGTAGCTCAGAGATTCTCACAAAGACCTGCAGTAGATTTTGATGAAACATACTCTCCGATTGTTGATGGAATAACATTTAGATACCTTGTGAGCCTAGCAGTGCGAAAAAAGCTCGATATGCGTCTTTTAGACGTAGTTACTGCATATCTTTATGGCTCATTGGATACTGATATTTATATGAAAGTTCCTGAGAGATTCAATATGCCTAAAGCATACAAATTAAACCCAAGGGAATCATATTCCATCAAATTGAAAAAGTCATTGTATGGACTTAAACAATCAGGGCGAAT